AATTACGTAGAATTGGTAAATTTTGCATATGAAAAGTAAGTAGATCTACGTACTTTTTTCTGAGTGAAATGAAGAAGTTATTTGAAACCGAATAAAACGAGTATTTTGTTATACAATTTGTTTAAGAACGGGAGATAGAACGAAGAGTTCTTGGAGAAGTCGCTGCATTAGAAGCATTTACCATGCTGTGGTAAACATTTACCATCAGACACAGGCACTGGTGGGTGCGGATTGTTCTCTAAATTTAAAACTTAATTTAACATCAGTCTCTCCTTTTCATTCTGTATAGAGAATGACAAGGATAAACTGTTGTTAAATGGCCTAGTTGACACTTTTTGGAATTATGTTTTAAATTGTTAATAATTATTCTATCAGAACGAAAAAAAAAAATTTTTTATCTAGAAGACATACAAAAACGCTCTTTAGTCTATAGACTTATCTATGCTATGGCGCCAAAACATTTGTAAACAAACACTCGCAAGCACGTAGGAAATAAACTTTCTAAGTTAATATTATAAAACCATGATTTCTAATAGATTACATGAAAAATATAGTAGTTATCATGATACACTTGGTAAAAGACTCTAGAAAAGTTATGGTTTAAATTGCCAAGAGAAAAAACATACTTACACATGAACATATGCTTAAAACTTGCTAAATCCTGTAACTTTATCGACTGAAAGTCTTTTCTTTTTGCAAAGATCAATTCGATGTGAGTAGGTACTCATTGATAATAGTAAAAGTTTAAAAATACAATTTTTAAGGTTAGGAATGTACCTACTAAGTCAAAGAGTTTTGTCGTTTCTGCTTTCACAAATCCTGCGTCCAGTATTAATTTAGTCAACAAAACCAATAACGGGAACCTTTTCTACAAGATGCAAGAGTGTTTAGATACATCTTCTTAAATATTCTATATAAAATATTCTTCTTTATTCTAGTGAATTAAGTTATTTTACAAATTTGAAAAAAATTAAGAAAATACGTAGATTCTGGGACTTTAGTTAGTAGGTTTCCAGAAAAGGCCTAAAATACGTAGATCTACGTAAAAAGACGTAGAGTTGGCAACACTGTGTAGAGGTAAACTCCCCAAGCAAAAAAAAAATACACGGCATTGCTCAGAGCGGCAGTGCAATATGCTGATTTATGATTTTCACTTTTTTTCTTAGTTAAGTAGCTACTTCGCAACATTGTCAAAAAGAATTATTGAGTTATGGGCTCTATTCCATAAAATAAAAAAATACGAAGTGGCATTTTATCATCACGGTGACCTGTCCTAAACCCAATTCCTCTCGTGAAATTACTTCCCCTGTAGTTACTGTTGAAATGGTTAGGTATATCAAATAATAAATACATTTAAGTTAAACTCTGGTTTTATTCCTGACAGTACACATTCTCTAAAAGTAATACAACGCATGACATAACAGATTTTCAGGAAACGGAAGTAAAAGTGAGGTGCACAGAATAGGCAGATTATATGAGGTTCTTCCCGACAATGACAGATGGCGCTACGTGTAACACTTAATATATGATTATAAAATTTACCTAATTACAACACGCCTCCTTAAATTTTTAATCTTATATATTTTATTTTTATATAACTAAATCAATCTGAACTCTAATCTGTTCTTTAAAAATTTCGTCTTATCTAAACTTTTAGTTAACATGTCTGCTAAATTTAGTTTTGTATCAATTTTAACAATATCAATTATTTTCTTTTCATAGTTCTCATTTATATAATGATACTGCACTTCGATGTGCTTTGAATTTTTTGTAAAGTTGCCGTACTTAGCAATTGCAATTGCACCTGAGTTATCTTCATACAATTTAATTGGATCACAAAAATGAACATCAAATGATTCACTTAACAAGTTTCTAATAAAAAGATCTTCTGTCACTGCCTCCGACATAGCAGTATATTCTGCAAAAGTTGAACATTTAGTTACTGTACTTTGTTTGCGTGTTTTCCAAAAAATTAAATTTCCATACAATCTAATAATAAAACCAGTTGTAGATTATCTACATTATCTCCTGCATAGTCAGAATCTACCATACAATCTAATACTTCAGTATCCACATTATCATAGTATGTTAACTTTAGATCCTTAGTCTTATATAAATATTTTAAGATTCTCATTGCATATTTGTAATGAGTTTGGTTATAACAACTTTGGTATCGACTCGAATAATTAACACTGTATGCTACATCGGGCCTTGTGCCTGTACTAATATACAATAATTCACCTATTATATTTCTGTACTTGATACTTTCATCTACTTCTCTAGCTTTTCTAGTTTTAAATTTGTTTCCATTGGAGTATCATATAACTTGGTACTTTTCAGATTGTATTTTGCAGCCAAAGATTCAATATATTTTGTTTGGTTTAGAGTCATTATACTTTTATCATCACTATAGTCAATATCTATGCCAATGTAGCTTTTAATTTTTCCAAAGTCTTTCATTGCAAATTTTTTCATTTGCCTAGTTTTTACCTCTTTCATTTTGTTTTTATCTTTACAACAAATTAAAAAATCATCAACAAATATCAATATATATATTGGATCTTTGCTTGCTCTATTAACATATAAACAGTAATCATAGTTACTTCTTACAAAATTCAGTGTTTTTATGAATTTATCAAAACACTCATACCATACTCTAGGGCTTTCTTTGAGACCGTAGAGTGCATTTTGCAATTTGTAAACTTTATTGTCACCAGTTTCATAACCTTCCTGTTGATTTACATACACTTCTGACTTCACATGTGCATTTAAAAAGGCTGTCTCTACATCCATCTGTTCTACAAATAAATTATTTTTACAACTGTATGACAATAAAATTTTCAAAGTTTGCATTTTTCCTACTGGTGAATAAGCATTTTCGATGTGTTCATTTTGTTGGAATCCTCTCACAACTAATCTAACTTTATAATCATTATTACTTTTCCTTCTAAACACCCACTTGACATCAATAACATTTTAATTTTTTGGCCTATCAACAACTTGCCAAGTATTATTTTTATTTAAACTATTTATTTCTGAATTCATTGCTTTTTGCCATTGTTTATGATCATTGGAGTTCATCGCCTCCTCAAATGTGTTTGGTACATTTGCATCAATATAGTTAACATATATAAAATGTGAAACTGGATTACCATATCTAGAAACTGGAGTTACATTTCTTTTTTTTAAACCTACTATGTCCTTGTCTCTATTGTCATTTAAATTATTATCGCTTACAAGATTTTTTAAGGCATTATTAGAATTGGTCTCATCGGCATCTACATATGTCTCATCATTTTCCGAATCAGTTTTGATTATTTCATTTGAAGCTTGGTCACTTTCTAAATCTTTATCTTTCTGATCATCTAGTTTTTCTAAGCAAATCAATTCAGTATTTTCTTCAACTATCTGTACATGCCTAGCATTAATTATTTTATTATTTACTAGAACTCGATAACTATTTTCAATATAGCCTACTAAAATTCCTTCTTTCGCTTTATCATCCCATTTGCTTTTTCTTAAAACTTCAGGAACCCTTACAAAAACTCTACTTCCATAAATTTTTAAATGCTCAACTTTTGGTTTTATTCCAAAAAATATTTCATAAGGAGTTTTATTTTCTACAGTATTTGCAATTGTTCGATTTTTTAAATATGCTGCTGTTTTTATTGCTTCTGGCCAGAACCTCCTATGAATTTTAGCTTCTCTCATTAAACACCTACCTATGTCCATAGCAGATCTATTATATCTTTCCGCTACTCCATTTAATTCATGGACGTAGGGTGGACATGGTAATAACTGTATACCCTTTTGCCTTATAAAATTATAAATATCCTTATTCAAATATTCTTTGCCATTATCACACTGAATTTTCTTGACTCTTTTGTTAAATTTATTTTCTAGTAGATTTACAAATTCTATGAAACAATTAGCAACTTCAGCTTTACTTTTAATGCAAAATATCCTTGTACATTTACTATAATCATCAATAAATGTGAGGAAGTATTTTTCTCCACCATAACCAATTGTATTATGTAGACCGTTTAAATCAGTATGAATTAATTCTAAAATCTCAGTAGTCTTCGTTCTATTATTTTCAAAAGGTACATTACTCATTTTACTTTTAATACAATTTGAACATTTCATTTCTATGCTTTCTATTCTATCAGGCAAACCAAGTACTAATTTATTATTTATTAATTTATTTAATTACTGAAAATTTACATGACCGAGTGCCCTATGCCATTTCTCTTTCTGAGTTAATTTTACTGAATGCGCTTAAATTTCATTTTTCGATACAAAGCTTTTTATACATTACAAATTGTTTATTTTATCAGCAACAACTATTAATTCTCTAGCTGTATTATAAATTTTTGCATTGTCATTTTTTGCTATTATTGTACAACTTTTAGTTATTTTTGAAAAACTTAACAAATTTTGCTTAATCCCTTCGACAAAGTAAACATTTTTTAAATCTACATATTTTCGATTATAATAGTTCTGAAAAAAAATTTTGACAGTACTTACTTTGGTAGCTTTTAACTGTTTGCCATCTGGCAGTTTAACATCAACAGGACTTTTCAAATCCATCGAGTTATCAAAATATGTATCATTATTTATTATATGGTCAGTACACCCACTATCTAAAAGCCAATTAATTTCACTGTTATTATTAGATTCTTCTGTTTTTATAGACCCCCATACCTGATTTATTTCCTGATTACATACTTGAGCTGTCCATGACTCCGATGAAAAGTTGTTTGAAGATGCACCACTAGAGTGACCTTAACCTCTGCCTCGGCTACGACCTCTGTTAATTGAAGACTCACCACTGAACTGACCTCTAAAATGATTTTGACCTCTGTAAAATCCACCTCTTGTTATAACCTTTCTGTAGTCCTCGCTGACCTCCGACACCTTGTTGTTCTTGATTATATCTCTGACCGTGCCAGCAGTCCTTACTGAGATGACCAGTCTTTCCGCATATAAAGCATTTGTTTCTAATTTTGGTTGCAAATGTTGAGTACATTGTTGTTTTTCTTGTCCAAGTCACTGGTGGCCATATTTTTCTCTTTAATTTTAGAACACTCATAATCAACTGTTCTTTGTTCTTCTGGAATTAAATCAAGAAAATCACCGATATAACTGTAACTTGGTGGAAGCGCTCTGAGTAGATATCTTCTACTGTATTGTAATTGTTGAGTCTAATCTCTTCAATTTTGCCATCTTGATGTAATATTATGTTAATTTTTGTATTTTCACGACAAATTTTTCGTTGCACAATTCACCTTAACCTCGGATGTCAATTATATTTTTAAATCTTTAATTTACTTATCACACTGAGTTTTTCTTTTATAACCACGCTCTGCTACCATGTTGAAATGGTTAGGTATATCAAATAATAAATACATTTAAGTTAAACTCTGGTTTTATTCCTGACAGCACACATTCTCTAAAAGTAATACAACGCATGACATAACAGATTTTCAGGAAACAGAAGTAAAAGTGAAGTGCACAGAATAGGCAGATTATATGAGGTTCTTCCCGACAATGACAGATGGCGCTACGTGTAACACTTAATATATTATTATAAAATTTACCTAATTACAACAGTTACATTTATTTTTTCGATTGAAATTAACTTTTATATGATTAACATATTATATAGCCTATCAACAAAACCTACTACTGTTTGTTTACCTTCTTCCTTATACATGCAAGCACTCAACTTTTGTCCTGGAAAAAGTTATCATTTCCATGGACAGTAAGTTTTTGTGAAATAGGTTCGTCTACATTGCTTTGTTGTGTCCCGCTTGTCAGTGCCTACTTCGAGCCAGTCCGCCTTCGCTGGAGCACACGCACGCGCAACAACGTCATTGTGGATTCCCGCCAAATAGTAAGTATATCATTTCAGTGATATGTGGACAATTGATTCGGTGGACAGTAATGCCGATAAGAGTCCAGGGAATGAAAGTATCGCCGAAATGATACATCCATAAGTTTTTAGAGATCCTTGAGTCAATATAGGTATATTAAATAGTTTCGGTTTTGTGTATATTTATCTAGATACTGTAGGTTCGATATTTCGGGTGCAGTAGTTGTTCATGCCAACGTTAGGCATTCTTAGTTTATAGATTTAACTTTTCATTTTTACCCACGTTTAGTTTATAAGAGTTACCGCTCGATATATCGCTGCATTCTACAGTCTACGAATTGACGGCGACTCAACCAGATGCGCACTCGCTAATCTGGGTTTCCCGTTTTCTGGAACTATATTCTTTATTCTAAAGACTGCTATTCTTAGGGTTTATACTCTTTATGAACCTACCGCTCGTGCTGTGAACATAGTGCTGTGTTTTGCAGTGCTTAACACATACACTGTTGTGAAGTAAACGCTTAATTATCCGCTGTCTTGGCTGATATTAACCGGGGCTGGTCCTTCATTATCTCGCTAAATCGTCGTGGGCTGTTGAGGCTGAGGAAGAAGTCTGCAGTGACATTACCCGGGTAGTGCCGGGTCAGTGCGGTTGCTGAAGGTGAGTTGCTGTTTTACTTTCGTATTCCGTATTCGATTTCCGTAGGATATCTATCTCCTCTTCAACAGATAAGTAAACTTATACTACCTATGGTGATACCCAAATTAGTGCTGGGTAGAATCTACGAACCTTATTGCTAGGTTTAGCGTCCACATCATTTTTGGCCTTCGAGCCGCATTCATTGAACCCATTTTATAAATTTATACTACCGCGTACGCTTCAAATAACGTATTTTGGTATTTCTTTATATACTTTATACCTTATAACATAAAAGGTAGATTGTAAATTTATTACTACGCCACCGAACGTGATTCTTGCTTCTATCGTTGTGCTCTGTTGCGGACAGTTACTAAATTGGCGATTTACTCTTTTGCCTAATTTTATTTCAATTATATTTTATAATGCCTCCTGGTAGTGCAAGTGTTTTGAAAGGAAATGACAAGTTGGAAATTGACTTGAAAAAATATAACGCAAAGCGTAACAATTTGTTTTCCCGCTTACAAAAAATTTATAGTGAGGCTAAGCACGCATTTTCTGATGAATCATCTACGGAAATATTTCTTGCTAGTTGTGAGTCTTTAGAAAATTTACGTTCAGATTTTAGGGAAATTACTGATCAAATAATTGATATTGAACTTCAATTAAAGCCTGAATCTAAACCTAATTATCAGGGCGTTAATGCATTTGACGAGCTTTATTGCTTCTGTAAGCGCACTTTAACTAAGTTGTCTGTTTCGGCGGCAACAACAATCAAGTCGGATACTTTGGATGCAAAAAATACTTGCTATAAAAGTCCAACTGTAAAATTGCCAAAACTGGATTTGATAGGATTTTCAGGTGACCCCATTAAATGGCCTATGTTCTACGAATCATTTAAAAATACGATTCACGATAACTCTGATTTATCTGACCATGAACGTATGCAATATTTGATTGGTAAGTTGTCTGGCCGGGCACTTTCAGTTTGTGCGGGAATCACACCGAACGCTTCTAACTACAACATAATATGGCGGACGCTAGTCGACAAGTATGAAGACAAACGATGTCTCGCCTCCGCGTATTTAGATGAAATGCTTACTTTTAAATGTTTTAATTCCGCAAGCGCTCAACATTTTGAATTATTTTTAGAAAAAAATTGCGGTGCTGTTTCCAGTCTTAAATCTCTGAATTTAAATAACTTATCAGATTTTATTTTATTTCACCTTGCATTTAAAAAACTTGATACGGACACGGCTCGTCAATTTGAAATGCATAAACGTGACTCTTCTTTTCCTTCATACGATGATTTCTTTGCCTTTGTACGCGAACAATGTAAGTTACTAGATCGCACTACTCCCATAAATCCCGCTACAACAAAACAGAATTCGTATCAGATTCGTAATAAGCCCACCCACGCATTAGTAGCCGCTACTCATACTGATATGCAAAATAAGTATTCTACCCAATGTGCCTTTTGTAAACATAATTCTCACAACAAATTATTTCTTTGTACGGCATTTAAAAATTTATCAATAGAAGACCGCTATAACTATATTAAATCTAACAATGGATGTACCAATTGTTTAAGCTTATCTCATTTAATTTCAAAGTGTAATTCAATTAGTCGTTGTCGAAATTGTGCATCAAAACATCACACGCTGCTATGCTGTAAAGGAGCCCTGTTCGGCGGTGCGCCGTCGCACCACGCGCGGCCGCAGCTGGCCCCGCGCGCTGGCATTAATCATGATGGCAGCTCCCGTGAACGCACGCGCGCCTCCGCACAGTGGGTGAAAAAAAGAGGTCCTCTTTCATAGGATTTTTGAAAAAATAAAAATGTTTATTATCCGTTTAAGGTATGCGGTTTTATTGGACATATCAGTACATTGAATAATAAAATAGTTTGGGGAATTTCCTTTTAATCTAACACCATAAAGCACGGGCTTTAGAGTTTCAAATGTATGAAAACGGAATTTGTTTTGCTCATAACTTGTATCGGTCTTCTACGGTCAAGCTGAAACTTATAGGGATTATTACCGGGTCTGTTACGAAGCCATGTGACCTTTGACCTTCACCCCGGACGGCCCCGTTTAAAAGATACGAATTTATCAAAATGCTTATTAGGGTAATTTTACTTTACGGGGTTATGTGTCTCAATAAACAGTTTGTTTATGTTTCTTGCCCAGCATTTAGTTATTAATATAACACAGATTATTATCTAATAAAACTACACAGTAGATAACGCCACCATACAACTTAACTTTAAATAAAAGCGTCCTAATTCAAAAGATATGGAATTAATATAAATAGATAAAAGAAATAGTTTTAAGAAAAAGAAAACAAGAATACAATATTGTAAAGAATTACAATGAAGTCGTTTACAGCCTACAATTTAATCTTTTGTTTGACAATCGCTTAAAAGCCGCGCGCCACTAACGAGAGCATCATCACATATAAACAATACAAACTCTATTGTTGCAGGTTTTGAGGAATTCAAAGGGTTACCCACAGTCATTACCTGCCGTTGTTTGCCTATAATAATTAATTTTGTCAAACAAACATACTTACACTTACAATGTCTATCTAAGAAAGGGTTTGATCAAATATGTTTATTTTGGGATACCTAGAACTTTAACTGACTAAGCTTAAAATGAACAAAGTGTTTTTCCAGATAAACTAGCTGGTTATTAATATTAGTAAATGTAGTAAGGGAGATTCTGATATGTTACTGCCAAACGAGAAAATAAACTATTTACATTATGAATAAAACAAAATTATTAACATCAATATTTTTATTTACAAAACTTAAATTACTAACTAAGCTTGATATCATAAATTAAATAATGCATAATAAGGAAGCCACAACTGTATAAATTACTACACACATACAAGCTAAAGTATTGTGGCGACTGGATTCCAAGAATGCTGACTTGATATAAGCGTCGACGCGCGGTCCGCGGTGACGCGAGCCAGTCGCACATTACCACCGATCCCGTCAGGTTCATTCTCAAGTCATTGTAATAGTACGCATAACAGTTAGAAAATAGACAGTATAATTTGGAGTCAGAGTAATTTAGATGAACATTGTGAAGTGAATAAACAGTCAGTGATTTATATAGCAGCCTTTATTTGACATTCACACCAGACCCTAACTTAGGTAAAGTGGCAACAACATAAGTCAATAGAAAACCATATGCCAAAGTGGTGACCACGCGTTTTTCGGTGTGCGACTCAGGAACCTGACGGCGGACAGACACGCGGACGAAAACGTGGCGAAATTTGAGGTTAGGGTAGTGAATTAAAGTTTTGAAGATATACATTTTGCGTAAAAATGTATGAAGACGCCGTTTGCAGACCGGATGAGCCGATTATTGCGAAAAAGGAACCCGCACCATCGACTAGTGGACAAGAGATAGCCATGGTGACGGTACAGTCACGCATCCCCGAGTTCTGGACGGAAATGCCAAGAATGTGGTTTGCGCATTTTGAGTTGATAATGGCACCACAGAAACAGGGAGACAACGTTAAGTTTGAGATGGCAGTTGCAAAATTGAATAAAGAGGCGCTCAGGCAAGTGAGCGACCTGATCCAATCACCACCGGCTACAGAGAAGTATAACGCTTTAAAAAGAAGACTTATAGCCGTATACGAGGAGAGTGCAGAAACGCAATTCCAGAAACTAGTGAGCGAAATGGATTTAGGCACGCAGAAACCCTCACAGTTGCTTAGAAGAATGACGGAACTAGCAAAAAACGTTGGCATATCAGTAGAACCATTAAAAAAATTATGGATAAACCGTTTGCCACCGAATGTAAGAGCAGTTCTAGCAGTGAGTGGAGACACAAGGTTGGAAGATTTAGCAGCCATAGCGGACAAGATTTTGGAGAACCTGAGGTCCGGAGAAATTGCATCAGTGAGCAGTGCACAAGCAGAGGTACATCCAGACATTATTAGGCACATGCGAGACCTAACAGCAGAAATAAACAAATTGAAGTTAGAAATAAACTCCATAAGAACAAGAGGACGCAGCCCGAATCGAAGACAAGAAGGACAGAGATGGCAACGTAGTAATTCTCACAGAAGACAAAATGCATCATTGTCCCGGCGTACACCAGAGAGCCCAGATTGGCTATGTCGCGAGCATTACCGGTTCAGAGAGCGAGCGAGGACCTGCACATCACCGTGTAATTGGCAACGACAACAGCAGCAGCAGCAGAGTTCGGGAAACTGAAGGCGGTGCAGTTGGCGGAGATGGACGGCTGCACCGACGAAGGAAACCATCGTTTATGCGTCAAGGACTACAACAGCGGTATGTGTTATCTCATAGACACGGGAGCTAACATTTCAGTGATACCGGTGAGTAAAGTGAGTAGTAGTAAAATCAGTAAAAATTGTGAATATAAACTATATGCCGCGAATGGCACAGAAATAAGGACTTACGGAATTATATCATTAGAGTTAGATTTAGGTTTAAGGAGAAATTTTAAGTGGAATTTTGTAATTTGCAATGTGAAACAACCCATTATTGGTGCAGATTTTTTGAAAGCGTTTAGTTTAATAGTAGATCTTGGCAATAGAAAGTTGACTGACGGCCTGACTAACCTAAATAGATATGTAAGGGTAATAAGTAGTGTCGAGCCGACAATTTCCAGTATTCATAGGGACAACCCATTCCATGAGTTATTAGAAAAATACGCGGACATTACTAAGCCTGTGAATTACAAAGAGGATGGTGGTCATGGTACATACCACCACATTGAAACCGTTGGGCCCGCTATTTTTGCGAAACCAAGACCATTACCGCCACATAGATATCAAGCTGTAAAAGAGGAATTTAAAAACATGATGGAATTAGGCATTTGCAGACCTTCAAAAAGTGCGTGGGCCAGCCCGTTGCATGTGGTCCCGAAAAAGGATGGGCAGATACGTCCCTGTGGCGATTACAGGCGTTTAAACGCTGTAACCAAACCGGACAGGTACCCCATACCTAGAGTGCAAGACTTCACTTTTGGTCTGGCAGGTAAGTACATATTTACTAAGATAGATATTAATAGAGCGTATCATAATATCGGTATTAAGCCAGAGGATATCGAGAAAACAGCGATTACGACACCATTTGGTCTTTTTGAATTTGTAAAAATGAGTTTTGGATTGCGTAATGCCGCGCAAACATTCCAGCGTTGGATGAACAATACGGTTCTACAGGGAATAGAAACGTTAAACAGTAAGAGTAAAAATAGTAATCAGTGTTCTGTGTTATTTTGCTATATAGATGACGTAATAATCGCGACAAGCGATGACGTCACATTGCATAGGGAACACTTAGAGCAGGTATTTGAGAGATTCGAAAAATTCGGTATAACGATTAATTTAAAAAAATGTAGTTTTGGTAAGGCAATGGTAGAATTTTTAGGATATGAGGTCAGTAAAGATGGTATAAGACCGATGGAGGAAAAAATTAAGGCCATTCAAGAATTCCCAAAACCAGAGAATATAGAACAGCTACGTAGATTCCTAGGAATGATAAACTTTTATAGAAGTCACTTAGATCATGCAGCAGATAGTCAAAGTCTATTGAATAAATATTTACATAAAGCTAAGAAAAGGGATAAAACAAAGATAGAATGGAATGCGGAATCGTTAAAGGCATTTGAACGATGTAAAAAAAGTTTAAGTAACGCAAGTATGTTATCATATCCGGAACCGCAGAGTAAGTTAGCCTTAATGTGTGACGCTTCGAATACAGGGGTAGGCGCTGTATTACAACAAAAGGTTGCTAACGACTGGAAGCCATTAGGTTACTTTTCAAAGGGACTTACTAATACTCAGAAGAAATATAGTACGTACGATAGAGAACTTTTAGCAATTTATTTAGGAATAACACATTTTAGGAATATAATAGAAGGTAGGAATTTAACAATATTTACAGATCATAAGCCGTTGACATACGCGTTTAGTAAAATAGGTTCAGATAAAGAAACACCAAGACGGACGCGACAATTACTGTACATTAGCGAGTTTACGAGCGACATACAGTATGTAAGCGGAAACGATAACGTGGTAGCTGACGCGCTATCGCGCACAGTAGAGTCCATTGTTTGTCCTACGAACATTGATTTCGACGAAATCGCCAGGGCACAGGAACACGATCAGCAACTTCGTGACCTGTTAGCTGAAAGTAAGACTAAGCAAAAGTTACAAAGATTACAGTCACCTTTGTGTAGTAGTTCTGTGTACTGTAATATAAACAAAGATTGTGTAAGACCATACATACCAGAGCAATTCAGGAAGTTAGTTTTTGATAAGGTACATAATGTTAGCCACCCAGGAATTAGAAGTACTAGGAAAATGATTACTCAGAAATATTTTTGGCCTAACATGAATAGAGACGTTAATAATTGGAGTAAGAAATGCATATCGTGTCAAAAAGTCAAAGTTCAACGTCATACAGTATCTAAACTAGGGACATTTCCACCCAGTGAGCGTTTCGAGCACGTTCACGTAGACATAGTTGGTCCTTTACCTACTTCAAGCGAGGGATATAGATATTTAGTCACTATGATAGATAGATTTACGCGTTGGCCAGAAGCCATTCCAGTAAACGAGATCACCGCAGAGGTAGTAAGTAAAGCTATTTACGAAAATTGGATATGCAGATTTGGTTGTCCGAAGGAAATTACTAGTGATCAAGGTAGACAATTCGAAAGTGAGCTGTATTCAGCACTTATGAAAATGTTAGGTATTAAAAAAATTCGTACTACAAGTTATCATCCGCAAAGCAATGGGATGATAGAAAGGTTCCACAGATCACTAAAGGTAGCATTAAAGACACGTTTATTAGATAATAGTACATCGTGGGTAGACGAATTACCAACGGTAATGTTGGGACTTCGCGCAGCCTGTAAAAGCGATAACAACGTGAGTGCAGCAGAGATGACATTAGGACACACATTACGTTTACCAGGAGATTTTTACGAAAATAGTTTAAGTTTAAAAGTGAAGGACGAACCAAGTTATGTAAGTAAAATAAGACAGGTATTAAATAGTTTACGTCCACAGCCTAGAGAGAATAGGGATAACAGAAAAATTTTTGTACATAAGGATTTGGAAAATTGTAGTCATGTTTTTGTCAGGAATGATATGGTATCGAAGCCGTTAACACCCACATACAGCGGTCCATACCAAGTCATTAGTAGATCACCCAAATCATTCGTAATAAGGATAGCAGAACGCCAGTCTAACATTTCTATTGACAGATTGAAACCAGCTTATGTATTGAACTATAAAATTTTGTTAGATAATAACTCGTATATTACTAAAGAATGTACGACAAGCAGCAAAAATATATGTAAGGAAAGTAACAGTAATAAAATTGTATGTAATAAGCATAAAGAAAATACTGACGTAAAATGTGATGAGCAAAGTACACTGAAACCTGCAATTAAGGTCACACGCAGTGGTAGAAGTGTTAAGCAACCAGTACGATTTTTGCTGAAATGAAACATGTAAAATGCAATATAAGTTTTAGTTGTGACAATTTAAACATTTAAGAAATTACTTTTGTGTAGTACACTCTTCAGGAAGTAAATTATTATTTAAAGATGGGAAATTATCAGAATAAAGATGTTGTAATAAGTACTCAGGCACAAATTGCAAGTGCTGAGAAACTGCAAAGTCAAGTAAATATGTTCAGTATCATGTTGATAGTGATGATAATATTAGTGAGCATGGGGTTACTATACGCCATACGTCACAGATGTGTTAATGGACTAAAGAAATTAATAAAGAAAGAAGCTGTAAAGGTAATTCCAGAAGTAATCCATTTACCTAGAACCGCTACAAATGTTGCAAGCGGAAGACCAAGTGTAGCTTAGGAAGTGAAAATAAAGTAATTTTTTTTCATATATATTAATCGCTGAGTATAAAATGAAATATGTTGTGTAAAATTGTGTATTTCCACGCAAGTGATGTTGTTAATGTTAATGTTTTTGTAATGCTGTGTAAATTCGTGCGTGGCGTCACTAAAAGGAGTGCTGTCGAGCCTAAAGCTGTTATTATGTATTGCAGAGCATAGCCCTTTTAGTGACTACCTAGGACATGTTATTTGTTTATGTTTCCCCTGAAACATTTTAAAGACGAACCTGAAAGCAGATGTTCGCAAAATTGTATTAAATCTATGTATTAAAGTTATATAGAATGTGTATTGTGAAATGTGAGTATGAAAGGAAATTTAGAGATTTTGTCAAAATTATTGTTTTAAATAGTACAATAGTAAGGAAAGAGAAATAAAAAATGCAAGATTGTTTTTGTAAAAAGTTTAATAGAATTAATTTGTGTAGTAACGCATAGAGCTTCGCCTTAATATAAATCCGTTCTAAAAATAGAATTACATGTATTGGCCTTAAGCGTTGGTATGCGTCATGTTATGAAGTCCGTATCGTAGGTATTGTTATCATAAACATTGTATCGAAAGTTGAAACGTTGCATTATTAGCGAGCTCTGTTGTAATACTTTGTTTTGCAGTACAGCTAAATGACAAGTTAGACTTGTATAATTATGAAGGTTCAGTAGATATATTTTTTATGAATATGTTTAAAAATTTTACATTTTTTTTTGAAAAAAGGGAGGGTGTGATGTGGCGACTGGATTCCAAGAATGCTGACTTGATATAAGCGTCGACGCGCGGTCCGCGGTGACGCGAGCCAGTCGCACATTACCACCGATCCCGTCAGGTTCATTCTCAAGTCATTGTAATAGTACGCATAACAGTTAGAAAATAGACAGTATAATTTGGAGTCAGAGTAATTTAGATGAACATTGTGAAGTGAATAAACAGTCAGTGATTTATATAGCAGCCTTTATTTGACATTCACACCAGACCCTAACTTAGGTAAAGTGGCAACAATAACAGTCAATAGACACATTACATTAGCCAAAGTATAAAAGATTAGTAGAACTCAAATTGGCTACAACAGTTCTTAAATATGTAAACTGTTTATATTAATATGATACAAAGATACAAAAAAATAAAAATACAAAGTTTGATATATTTTGATTTGAGGGAAAGAACACATACTAATCAAAGTCATAATCAGATACATTACCTACATCTACAAACTCTATATTTTCCTTATCTTCACAAGAAGTTAATAATAATGATTTAGCTTCATTTGTGAGAGGTTTA